AAAAAAAAAGAACAAGTCTGAAAAGGTAGAAGACTTAAATTGAGGACAAACAAAGGTGAGAGAGGAAAGAACTCTTACAAATGAACAAACGGCATATAATGTTTTACTGTAACAGGGCCCAGTTTTGAGATGAGAAATATGACCCTGTATATCAAGCTTTGAGCACTTTTCACACTGTCATTGACATCCAGATCAAGATGTGGAGGAGGTGGCTAAATATATGAGTGTGTAGGCAGACTGTTGATAGCCTTTGGAATCTTGGGAAGCATAAAGAAAATTCATGCTGATATGGCAATGAACAAAGCCTTCCCTAAATGATTCCAAATAACACATTATAATCTTTTTTAATACTTTAAGTTCTGGGGTACATGTGCAGATCATGCAGGTCTGTTACATACGTATACACATGCCATGGTGGTTTGATGCATCCATCGTCCCATTATCTACATTAGGTATTTCTCCTAATGCTATCCCTCCCCAATCCCCCCATCCCCTGCTATTCCTCCCCTAGCCCCACAACACCATTATAATCTTGAAAGACAACCACATTATTGACGTACTTTGACTCTTTTCTTTTTTATTCAAGAATTTCATTTTCCTCTTCTGTAAAACTTATTGAATTTCTTTTCAAGGAGACATATTATAGAAGTACATGGATATCTTAAACACTTCATCATTTTTGTTTCTTTCTTCTTCAAGCCATCAACTCAAAAGTTCCTTCTTGCAGATTGTGTTAATTTGCCTTTCAGGGCAGAGTAGCTGCTATTCATTAGATGACAAATATCTCTGAAATATTCCATATGAAGACTCAGACTCATTGAACCCAGGAAACCAATTGGCCCCAAGTCAAGGACTGATTATTTTGTAAATGCTAGTTTACGAAGAACGTAAATGTACTGGGTGGTTGAAGACATCCAAATATACGCAGAAAAGATGAGAACATGTGACTCCCATATCCACCCTCATGAGAGCATTCTGCACAGACCTGGTCTGTTCCATCAACTAGTGCTCTGACCCAGAAGCTACATGTGATCTGTCGTTGCAGGAAACTCATAATTATGATTTTCTCTGTATGTCCCTTGGGTTTTTGTCAGTGTCTCAGGAAAAAAACAAGAGCTTATGATCCTTTCTTTTGAGCCACAGAACTTTCTTAGAATCCATCACAAGCAAAATACTCTCAGGCCTGAAAGGCCGATTCATCTCTGGACCAGGAAACTGGAGAAATTTCGGTGAATGAGTTCCCTGATACTTACCTCAATTACCCTGATAACATTTCTCAGTTTTCAGCTTTTGTAAAGTTCTGTCTTCTGGCTGAATGAAGGCTGCTTTCGAGATCACAGTATTGGAGTAAAAACTAAAAACTAATTTGAATAATTAACAACTTCTAGTTCATGTTACGTATATTGAAATGTTTATGGATTAAGTGTACTGATGTCTGCAACTTACTTTGAATGCACCAAAAAATAACAATAGCAGCAATAATAATAGAAATGACAACAATGTGGATTCATAGACAAATAGAGAGATGGATAAACTGATGAATATGACAAAGCAAATACAGCAAAATGTTAATTGTAGAATCCAGATGGTGGGGTATTGGTGCTTTGACTTTTTTAAACTTTAGTATATTTTGAAATGTTTCGTGATACAATCTTAGAAAAAAAAAATAATTTGAGTCACAGTGGGAATCAGGACTAGAAAGATTCCAAAATGTTGTATCCCTTTGTCTACTTTCTGTGCTTCCAACTCTAGCACCTTGTACGCAGTAAATGTAGTGACTCTCTGTTGAATTGAGCTGTTAAACTAAATGCCAAGCTGCAAGATCACTTCCAAAGTTGGCAGGATGCTTCCAGAATATGAGTTGGTGATTTATTTCTGTGAAGGCCAGATAGTAAGTATTTGAGACTTTGTGGGCATACAATCTCTGTCACAACTACTCACCTCTGCCGTTGTAGACTGAAAGCAGACATAGACAACATTTGACAGTTTGCCAAATACAGGATACCATAAATGCCAAGGCCCTGGGACGGGAATGGTGGCAGTGTTTCAATAAATTTTATTCACAAAAACTCATAGGGCTCACAGTTCACCAACTCCATGTAGACCACAAATCCTTACCTCCCACTAGAAAAATAGGAATAAGATCGACAAAATGCCGACAGTCTACGTAAAGGTTTCATGGGTGACAGGACAGGTGACAACAAAAGGCAACAACAAACGCTTTAGTGTCTATCTCCACCTCCTACTCACCCATTTCCTTTCATAAAAAACAGGGCAGTTTGTTCCAGCACTGAACCTGATGTTTGATATGCAAGCACCCTTAGGAGAGGTGATATGTTAATCTTCAATTCTAGTAAGTGTGAATAATTCACATCAGATCCCAACTTACAAGCAGATTATTTTAGCACCAGAAGGAATACGTGCAGGGGGTAATAGAGTGATGCCCCCAAAGAAGAGATATACATGAGCAAAGTTCAAGCTGCAGAGATAAGCTGTTGGAGCCCTTATGGTCTTACTCTTTAGTGAGAAGATACAAATAATAAAGGCAATAAATAAGTAAATTATGTATTATGCTATAAGGTGATGAGTCCTGTAGAAGCAAGAAAAAATAGAGCAGAGAAAGGGAGACTGGAGTGCTGGGTGGAGGGTGAGGCTGTAATATTAAACAGGGTGGTCTGCATAGGGCAATTAGAAAGATGCCATTTGAAGCAGAACCTGGAAATGAGGACATGATCCAGTCAGATATCTGGGAAAGTTTGCCAAGCAGAGGATACTGCCAATGCAATGGCCCTGGACTAGATGTTGCTCAGAATATTAGAGGAGTAGAAAAGAGGCCAGTTTTAGGAGTGGTAAGATGAAGTAGAATAATCATGGGATGATGTTAGACAGTCCTAAGGGACCAGAAGAGGAAGGATAAGCGAAGATTTCAGACCGGAGAAGTGCTAAGATGTGACTTATATTTAAAAGAATCACTCTGGCCACTCAGTGGAGAATAGACTGCAGGGACAAGAGTGGAAGAACAATCAGGATAGTAGTACAATATTCCCCCGGGGGTGGTGGCAACTCAGGCCAGTAGGTGGCAGTAGAGATATTGAAAAGTGGCCCAATGGGGTACATTTGAGGATAGTACTAACCTTATTTCATGAAGGACTGAAAGTTTGGTGCAAGGGAAGGGTAAAAATTAAGGATGACTCCATATTCTTTAGCCTGAGCAACTGGAAGGGGAGAGTTCCTATTAGTTGATAAGAGGAAGATT